AGCATAAAATACTCAGACAAAAATGTGTCTAGTACAACTATCATAAAACGCAAATCAGACGAGGTATATGTCTAAGATCAAAAGAAAGTCAACCATGCATCAGACGAAGGACAGCATAGACTGAAAGACACTCCAAATGGAAATAATGTTTGTCTACTCACATTGTTAATCAGACCAAAGAAAAGTTCAAGCATTGAACTCTGACGTTGAGGCAAAAGTCAAGATTGAAATGCACAGGACCAACAGACGAAGATGAAGACTGCCACGCAAGCAAATAAAGAATCACGCCTCAAGAAACAAGCCAAGATATCGTCTATGAAAACACCAAAGCTTTCAACGTAAAACGCGTACGAAGGAACAAAGGAAAAGAGAAGCATGCAAAAGCAGAGCATGCATGTGTCAGAAAAAGTGATTACTTTTTCAAAAAAGAACAACGGCTATATTAATGCATGACCAGAAAAAGACAAACAACTTCTAGGTCTCAGATAAAGTCAAACATCACTGACAATAGACAAAAGAAGAAAACACGTAATGTCTAAAAGTAGGAAGCAACATTTAATGCAAGACCAAATGCATTAAATGAAAGGATCAAACTAGTCATGAATGACTATATTAGCTTCAACGGACATATGCAACGGGCAAATTTTACAGGCCTATAAATATGCAACAACATTAAACTGAAAAAGGTAAGGCAAAGAGCAACAAAGGGATAACCATAGGCTTTGCCCTGGGCTTTTTGATTGGAAGAAAAATAGTGATATCAAGCCCACGAGACAGAGACCAGAGATGAGCATACATTGACATATGTACAATGTTATATTGTATTTAGCTCTATAGACTAAGGTGTTCGAAATGTTAGTGATGGACTAAACCTTAGTGAGTGTAGGAAATTTCCCAATCCTCTCTGTGAGAGTTATGTATACACTTAAACCAAAACTCTCTAGCAAACATCGTAAAGCCTGAAGAGGCTAGGAAAAGAATACTTGTAAAGCCCAAAGGGGCTTGTCAAAGAATACTCACTACTAGCTAGAAGTGGTTGGTAAGAAAATACTAGTGTTAGTGAGTAAAGCCAATAAGCTAGGAGTGGTCGAGAATACTTAGAGAACCATAAGTGGTTTAAGAATACTAGCGTTGGTGAGTGAAGTTGGTGGGCCAGAAGTGGTCGAGAATACTTGAACCAGAAGTGGTGTAAGAATACTAGCGCTAGTGAGTGAAGCTGGCGGGCCAGGAGTGGTCGAGAATACTTAGGCCAGGAGTGGTCGAGAATACTTAGACAAGAGTGGTTCTAACCTAGGTGGTTCATAATACTCACTACTATCCTGAAGAGGCTAAGAAGAATATACTAGCGTTGATGAGTGAAGTCAATGGGCCAGAAGTGGTCAACAATACTTGTATACTTCATTTCATAACTAGTGGAACCCTTCAAGTTGAAGGAGACTGGACATAGCTTTGTTGAGTGAACCAGTATAAAAAGATTGCATCCTTTTACTTACTTAGACGCAAATCTTCCTTACTAATTAAATATTTGTGAAAGACTTCATCCAATGTTTACAACTTTTAGATGAAGACGCTAACTTTGCTTGACAAACTTATTACACTGAAAGTTTCATCTGATACTTACCCTTAAACGAAGCTATCTTGAAAAGGAAAATGTAAGAACTTCAATTAATATTTTTACGAGACATTTTCCCTAGTGGACGATAAATCCTTCAGACGCATTGATCTTATGTTAAGCAAACTCTACACAACCGTCTAATATTCAAAAGTGCAATGGATGAAGAAGCACTACTCTTGCGAAAACATTTTTTAAAATACCTTTGTTCACCACACATATTCAACCTCCCCCCCCCCCCTTCTATGTGTATTTCTACTAACCTCAATTTTATCTTTGGTAAAAGTAACCCATATGAAATTAGGTGTTTATAGGGTTAGTTGATCTGAATAGTGAACGAACATCTTAGAAAGGGCTACCCGTGGGAGGATTTTGACCGGTGAAGGATTCTGACTAACGAGGAGTTGTGTGAAGTATCATTGAGTGGAATCGCTAAGATGTCAAATCTGAGGGGTCTTACAAATGGTATCAAAGTAAGTCCTCTCTTTCAATACAATGTGGTTCAGGGACAAACCAGGCGAAAGCTGGTGGGATTGTAATAGCCTGAACACACCAAATGAGAGAGATCCATATATTGTACATTTGTGAGACTGTGCAATTGAGAATAACTTAAAGGAATTAATTTATATTACCTATATTAACAATATGAATCTACTTTTTGATAACTCATCACTTAAGAACTTCACAATTAAATGTACTTAACTTTGAACGATTTAGAAATAGATAATCTTTTGGGATGTTTCTAGGGTAGTGTTTAAGAAATTTTAGGCCTAAGAAAAAAAATTTATTCAAAATTTGCTCTCAAATAATTGATTTTTATTTTAATATTTTCACAATAAATTGTTAATTAAATCTAATAGTTTAAAAATTTGAACATCTCACTTGTTGATAATTCTTTCAATAACTATTTTGCAACATAGTCTCAAATTAATCTAAAAAAATAATTATAAAAATAATAACTATTATTTGTAATATTCTATAAATTAACATATATATAAAATATTTGAAAATAATATTTTAATATAGTTTAATATTTATAATGAAATACTAATTTGTTTGTTAATATTTTTTAGTAATTTTAATTTAAAGAAAAAAAAAGTCATAACCTCTAATAATACAATATTATTTGTAAAAATATTATTTATTGAAATTCCAATAAAAATTTCAAAGTAATTTTATGTTTTAAATTTTTTAAATAAGTTGTGAAAAAATAAAATAAAATATGTTTTATAAAAATTAGAAGAATTACTTTTTAACAAAATATTTTTATCATTATCGTTATTATTATATTCACTATATTTTTTTATAGGTTATAATATTTTTTATGAAATTTAACCTTTATATTTATTTTAATAACATTTTTTATTCAATTTAAACAAATATAATATAAGTTTTTAAGGCTTAAATATATTTTTAGTCCCTCAAATTTAAGGTAAATTTGTTTTTGATTCCTCAAATTTAAAACGGTTATTTTTAGTCCTTGTAATTTTCAAAAATCTTGTTTTAGTCCCTTAGATCACGAATAATATATTTGAAAGTGACTAATTAAGACAGTTATGCGATATTAACCAGATTTAATGTGATATTTTTACTAATAGGGATATCGATAGGTAGATTTTATGCAATAATGTTTGATAAATTTTTTAACAAAATTTGAATATAAGGACTAAAATAAAAATTTTTGAAATTACAAGGACTAAAAACAACAATTTTAATTTTAAGGGACCAAAAACATATTTACCCTAAATATGAGGGACTAAAAATATATTTAAGCTAGTTTCTAATTATAATAAAATTTATGAAACTAATAATTCTACAATAATTTATGTATAAAAACATTTTTTAAATAATTGTATAATTTTATGTATTAACAAATTGATTATAAATAATATAATTAGATATATTTCTTAATTATATATA